ATAAGTCCAGTTGAACTTGATTAGGAGTGAGGGACGGCAAAGGAAGGAGAGAATCAGACAGGAGAGGCCGAGCCCCATTCCACCTCCGTGACTTCCCTGTGGGGGTCCATGGTGGAGAGGATCCTGACACACTTTCCTGTCAGGTCTGCCTGCAGATGACCATGTAATCGCTTCTACCCCCGGTCTCCTCGCCAGCTCCTCTATCACCTGTCTTTACAGGCTTCCTTGCTTCTCCTGTTTATCTTCCATCACCCTGCCTCTCAGATGAGAGCAGAGAAAAATGGGTTTTGTCTTTTTTTAACAAGAAGACTAAATGTCTTAAATTACCTTCTCCAAGGTCTGCAAATAGAAATCCCCAAATAAGACAGCCACTTTCTCTTTCCTCTCTTCCTTTCGCTCCATGAGCTCATGAGCTTGAAATGAGAGGCAAAATAGGGGCTCAGGAGGAAGTAACGTGGCCTCAGCTCAGCACCTGCCAGGGAGAAGAGGCAGGGGAAGGACACGGGGGCCCACCTGGAGTCTGGGAACGGCAGAGAGAGGGGAGGGGGGAAATCTACAACTTGTGACTATGGCTCTGAAGCAAAAGAAGGTCCCTAAAGGGGAGCAGTTTTTTTAATGTGAAGTTATTTTTTTTGTGTTTGTGTGTGTGTGTGTGTGTGTATAAGTGCATGCCTGTGTGTAAAAGTATGTGAGTGTGTGTAAGCACATAGGCATGTGTATGTACATATGTGTAAGTGTGCATGTGTAAGTGTGTCAGTGCATGAGAGTTATATGAGTGTGGAAAGAGTGTGCATGTGAACATATGTGTGTGCATTCAAGTGTGTGTATACAAAAGAGTATATGTGAGAGTATATGTGGGAATGCATGTAGTGGTTGTGTTTAAACATATGGTGTGTGTTTGTGTGAGTGCAGGTAAGTGTGTATGTGAATGTTTGCATGTGTGTGTGTGTATGCACTATACATGTTCCAGGGGATGTGTAGCTCAGCTCAAGAAGAAATGGAAACCACCAAGGCTGCCCACTGAGACGAAAACAGCATTATCAGGCACCGTGACCTCTGCCTTTATATCCACCAGTGCAGAATCTCACTGCAGGCGAGCCCACCACTGTACATGAGAATGAGAAATGGGAGGATGGTGTTGAGTGAAGACTTGGAGTTAGACAGCTGGCGTTCTGGGCTCAAATCCCATCTCTAGAGCATGTAATAATACTACTACACAAATTGCAGACTCATGGTAACCCTAGGAGCATCAGAATAGAACTGTGCCCCATAGGGTTTTCAGTGACTGTTTTTTCAGAATTTGATCACTAGCCCTTTCTTCTAAGGTGCCATTGGTGGGCTTGAATCTCCAACCTTTCAGTTAGTTTGTGAGCACATTAACCTTTTGCACCACCCAGTGACTCTGAAGTAATAACACTCACTGCCATCAAGTTAACTGCAGTGCACAGCCATCCTGTAGGATAGAGGAAACATAGGTGTTTCAAGGCTATACTCTTTATGGAAGCCGACCACCACACCTTTCTCCTACAGAGTAGAGCCTAATGATCGTTGACACTCGAGCAAGTTTTCAGAGGCAATAAATTGCTCAGGAGGAGACTACCCATCTTTTCCGCACGGAGCAGCTGACAGATTTCAAATAGCACACCTTTAGGTGCTCTCTGGACCAGCAAAAGTACTTGAAGATTCTACTGAAGATTATCCAAAAATGACTGAAACAGCACATCAGCAGAGAACTGCCAGAAGTCCAGGCTGGGTTTAGAAGGGGTCGTTGTACTAGGGATATTGTAGCTAATGTTAGATGGATCTTAGCTGAAAGCAGGAAATACCAGAAGAATGTCTATCTGTGTTTCATTGACTATGCAAAGGTGTTTGACTGTGTGGATAACAAACTGTGGCTGACTCTGAGAAGAATGGGAATCCCAGAACGCTTGATCGTGCTAATGAGAAACCTATACTTTGACCAAGAGGCAGTCGTCAGAACAGAGCAAGGAAACACTGTATGGTTCAAAATTGGGAAAGGCAGACGACAGAGATGTGTCCTGTCTCCATACCTTTTCAACCTGTATGCAGAACAGACTATCCGGAAGGCTGGGCTCTATGAGGAGAAATGTGGGTTCAAGATTGGTGGAAGATCTATCAACAATCTGCGGTATGCTTGCCGAAACTGAGGAGGACCTGAAGCGCTTGCTGCAGAGGGTCAAGGACTGCAGTCTCCAATATGGATTGAGGCTTAATGTCAAGAAGACAAAGATTCTCACTGCTGGGCCAATTGGCAGCATCAGGATGGATGGTGAAGAGATTGAGATTGTCCACAGCTTTAGTTTGCTTGGCTCCACAGTCAACACTCTTGGCACCAGTGGCCAGGAAATTAAAAGACGTATTGCCATGGGAAAGTCAGCTGTTAGGGACCTCTCCAAAGTACTGAAGAGCAATGGTGTCACTCTGGAGACTAAGGTGCGTCTGATACAGGCCATGGTCTTTAAAATCACTTGTTATGCATGAGAGAGTTGGACAGTGACTAAGGAGCATAAAAGGAGAATTGATGCCTTTGAGCTTTGGTGCTGGAGAGTATTGAGAGTACCATAGACTGCTAGGAAAACAAACAGATTCATCCTGGAAAGGGTCAAACCGGGTTGCTCCTTGGAGGCAAGGATTCTGAGGCTCCGTCTAACATACTTAGGACATGTTGTAAGGAGGGACAGATCCTTGGAGAGGGACATCATGCTTGGTATGATGGTAGGGTGGAGGGACAGCGCAGGAGGGTAAGGCCCTCTATGAGGTGGATTGATTCAGTAACTGGGGTAATTGGGATGGGTGTGTCAGAGATGATGCGACTGGCACAGGACAGAGCAGAGTTTAGGCCTGTTGTACATAAGGTCGCTATGAGTCGTAAGCGACTCGACGGCACACAACAACAACAACAACAACCACCTGTATGGACGAAGCTCTGATGGCCTAGCTCACAAGGAGTTGCGCTGCTAACCCAAAGGCCATGCTTTGCCGGTGGTTGAAATCCACCACCATGGAGGGAGAAGTAGACATTTTCCTGCCATGCACTTCAAAGCTTTGACAACCCAAAGGAGGGTTATCTGAGTTGGTTCCACATCGACAGCCAGGAGTTTGAGTTTTGAATACTTACTGAGTACTCACTATATATCAAGAACTGTATTAAGCAGCATAGGGTTTTTTCTATCCAATCCTTGAAACAGTTCTGTGTCATAGATAGTGCTCATGTTCCCTTTTACAGATGTGGACACAGAAATGAGGCTAGATAGCTTATGACAGATGAACATTTGAACCCAGGGGTCACACTCCAGGGACTCTGCACTTCTTCCTGCCAAGTCGCTAGGTCTGTCTGAGCCTCCTTCCTCATCGGGAAGTCAGGGTGCAGGAGGCAGATGTTGTGGGCATGGTGGTCATCACATTCCTTTCCAGCATTAAAAAACCCCTCATAGCTGTGGAGTAAGATCTGACTCATAGTAGACCCTCCAGGGGGTTTTCTGAGGCTGTGCAGAAGGCAGCTGCATAGAAAGAGACTGTCCATCTTTTTCCTGTGGAGCTGTAGATGGATTTGAACAGCCTACCTTTGGGTTGGCAGTGCAATTCCTTACCCACCCGCCACCAGAGCACCCTCCTCTCCAGCTTGGATGTTCTGATTTGGGACATACTCCACAGCTGCGCATGCAGAGACCTGCTGAAAGTGTGCTAAGTAAAGGAGTTCAGTTCAAAACCACCGCGTTCTGTCTGTGGGTGCATCTCTCTGTGCTTGTATTTTATAGGAAAATATACATACTGCAAACCTGAATAGACAGAGAAAGAAAGATCACACTGGCCAGAACAAAGTGAGTAGGGAAACTTGTAGGTTAGGCCTATTTTGAAAGAATAACACCGAGATCCAAAGCTGGATCTAGAAAACTCTGCCCAAGTTCATTTCACTGTGTGTCCAAAGCCTTTGTGTTTCCCAATCTTTGCTCTATGCTGCATACCTCCAACCTTAGACGCACCAGGCTAGGTAGACTGCTAAGAGCCCTTGGGCCCACTCAGAAGGAACTGTCATAGTTATGCTGCTGAACCAAGGATAACAAAAGTGAATGGCTTTAACAAATAGAACTTTGCTCTTTTACAGTTTAGAAGGCTAGAAGTGCACATTCAGGGTCCTAGCTCTAATAAAAGGCCCTCACTCAATGCTGGTTCCGGAGGAAGAACCTTGTTTCTGTCAGCATCTATAGGCCAAGTACTCCCCACAGATCTGCATATAACAAAGAGCATCCTTGCACAGGGACTGGGTCCTAAAATGAAGCACTCCACTCCTACCAATTCTTTCTTGAGGCCATGAGGTACTCATTACTTTGGGAACAATTCCATGTCTTAGGGACCATCCATTCACTGGGCAGGCTTCTGAGGCTGTGGATCACAACAGGAGGAGACAGCCCCAGCCCATCTTACTTTCTTAGGAGCGACTTGTGGATTTGACCCTGCCACAGACTCAATAATATTAGCAGAGAAACTCGCTAAGGACTACATCACCGGCTCTTATGAATTGCACCCTAGGAAAACCCCCTTAAATCTGATTAGGGCTATGATGGAATTAAGGAGTGTTGCATTCTGCCCGTAATCTTTTTCAAACTGTTTTATGACAGCATAGAGGGTCGTTGCATAGTATCCACACCCAAGATACCATTATTGCTGTTACATAGCATCAGAACTCATGGCTGACTGTCCAGCTGGCTTTCAGAGGCAGTAAATAACATGGGAGAAGATTGCCCATCTGTGTCTCATGGAACAGTTGGTAAATTTGAACCGAGAAACTTTTGAGTTGCCAGCACAGTCCTTACCACTCAGACATCAGAGCTTATATTCTTACATACATGCATTTTAAGGGTAGACTATCCAATTCTTGACTGTATTCTTGCCAACAACATCAGGCTATGGGCAGGGACAACACTCGAGATTGTTCTCGGTGGACTCTCCAGCCAAGCATGTGTATTCTGTTTGCAGGCCCAGCAAGCATGGCCCATTACAAGGGCGAGCAGGACGACTGGCTGATCGTCTATCTGAAGTATTTACTCTTCGTTTTCAACTTCTTCTTCTGGGTAAGTGGATTCTGCGCGTGCGCGCGCGCGCACACACACACACACACACACACACACACACACACGTGTGTCCCCTTCCCTGAGCACAGAATGAGTCAAGCCACCTTTGCTTTTTGTGAGTCACTACTCTGAGGTTGATTTCTTCCAAATCAAAGACCACCCATGGGCAAAGTCGGCCTCGTTTAAAGCAAATATGTGCATTTGTAACTGAGGGGGAAGAAAAGAATCCGGTCTTCAGGTTGGTGGAGTCCCGACTGCATGGCTTTTCAATAGAGGGTGTATAAACATAACAGTGAGCTTCATCTTCCAGCTCCGCTGTACAAAGGCTCCAGCTCTTTCTTCCCCACTAGCTTGTTGCACCAGGGCCTTGTGGGAAATGTTACTGCCCAGAATAATTGCTTGTTTTCCACTGAAGTCCATTTGCCTTTCATGGTTAATGTTCGCCAGGCCTGGGGCAGAGAAGCAGAAGACCTAGGGAGCCCGGGGCTGCCAGCGAAGGGAATGGTTTCTATAGCGACTCCTCTCAGGAAACCTGCCAGGGTGAGATCTTCCAGGACGAGTTTAGAGCCTTTCCTCTTGAAGCAATTATCTGGGTAATTTGGAGCAGAATACCATCAATTCCCCCCAAAATATCCAGACACTGGAATGTGTTTATTATGTGTTACAGTTAAATCTCACCAAATTTCCAGAGGCAAAGAAGCGCCAGAGAGCCTTTGCACTGGCTGGACCTAAGCTCTGCCCCTTACTGATGGTATGGGTTCCAGCACATTCCTTAAGTCCTTATTTTTCTCATGTGGAAAATGGCAACTGTTTTTAACTGTTCAGGGTCATTCTACCAACCTAGTACCAAACCCATGAGGGCAACCCCATCCCTTTCACACCAGAACTGCTCTATACGGTTTTCTTTCATACCCATAAGGAAAGCAGATCACCAGACCTCTCTTCCACAGAGCCACTGGGTAGATTCAAACCACTAACTTTCAGATTAGTGTAACCCATACCTCGAACTGTGGTGCTAGAGAAGAGTCTTGAACATACCATGGACTGCCAAGAAAAAACAAATAAGTCTGTCTTAGAGAGGGTGAAACCAAGTTTCTCCTTGGAAGCTAGGATTTTGAAACTCTGTCTCATGTACACTGCACACGTGGCCAGGAAGGACCGATCCTTGGAGAAGGACATCATGCTTGGAATGATGAATGGACAGAGCATGAGAGGAAGACCCTGGATGAGATGGATTGATACATTAACTGGGGCAATGGGGGTTGGTGTGTCGGAATTAGTGAGACTGGTTCAGATAAGGCAGAGTTCAGAGCTGCTGTATATAGGGTCTCTATAGGTCACAGGGAACTTGACAGCACGTAACAACAACAACCATCAAGTTGATTTTGATTCCTGATGATCCCACATGACAGAGTAGAACTGCTGCACATAGTTTTCTAAATTCTAATCTTTACAGGTGAGTGTTCTGGTGACCTAGTGGCAAGAAGCTGTGCTGCAATCTCAAAGACACACAGTTCGAATTCACCAGCTACTCTATGAGAGAAATGGGCATACACCTTCTATACAATTAACTGCTTCTGAGAACTTTCCGGAGGGTCAGCTATTGATTGGTTCAGACTCGAGGGTACACAACAACAATAATAACAACAATCTTTCCAGGAGCTGATTGTCAAGTCTTTCTCCTGTGATCTTTTGGTTAGCAGCTGAGTGCTTATCTGTTGGGCCACTAGACTCCTTTTAAGCCTAATAGACACAAACTGCAACCCTCTGGGACCTTTGGTTGTTCTGCAGATACCCTGAAATGATATCTGTAAAGCACTTAGCCCAGTCTCTGCATATGGAAGGTATCCAATAAGTATTCCAAACATTGAACTCCAAAAGCAAACCCCTTGCTGCAAGCCAGTTCTGACTTGGCATCTTTGTGTGTTTGGTATGGTATCTTCAGTAACTTTATGGGCTACAGAACGGAACTGCATTAGGGTCTCCCTTCCATAGTGCCTCTGGATGGATTGAACCACCAACCTGTCATAATTCAGAACTCATTCACTGCTATCAAAACAGAACCAATTCTCGGCGGACCCTCTGTTGGGTTTCTGAGGCTGTAGATGGGCTGGGAGGAGACTGCCCATCATTCTCCCTCAGAGCTGATGGAATCAGACTGCCAGAGAGACGTGGCATTTAAGTTAGCAGCACAGCTCCCTACAAACTGGGCCCGTCAGAGCTCTATAGTAATCGCTGTGTGTTGTCAGGTGCAGTATTTCAGAGTATGAGGAACTCTGGTGGCCCAGTCCATAGTGAGTTGTTGCACTGCTGACACAAAGGCCGTTTATCTCCAGTGATTGAAGCCACCAGCATCTCTTTGGGGGGAAATAAAGATAGGCATTCTCCTGCCTTGGAAGTACAATGGAGGGTCGCTCTGAGTCAGAACCAACTCGATGGCAGTGAGTTTGAGTTTGGATATTTCAGAATGTGACCTATCACATGCTGATTCCCTGGAAATACCACTGGTCAAAACCAACTTATAAGGCAGCACTAAGTTTCCTGCTGACCACAGTAGGGTAGAACCCTCTCTTGACAAGATCTTGACAAACATGTCAGGATGGCAAACACAAAAGCAGAATGCATATTCAGTCTCATGCAGGAGCTTATTAAAATCAGAAAGAATCATGACAAAACCAGTTTAAAATCGGTGAGGCCAGCAAAGCCAAGCTTTCCTTGGAGCGTGAACAGTCATTTGAGGCTATCTGTTAACAAGGCGAACAGTCTGATGTTTGTTTAAATGCTTTTCGTGAGGTTCCTGAAACACAGAATAACATTATTTGCAACTTTTATCTTCCTGGGCAAGCATTTCCTGGAATAGTAAAGACATGTCCATGAAGATCAGTGGAATAATAGTCATGTTATTGTAGAAGCAAGCTGTGTGGGTGTAGATGGTTTCAACTCACAGAGAAAAATCTGATTGCGTGTTTAGGATTCTTAGTGGGTACAGATTTCTTTTTAAAGAATATGCACGCTTTTCTGATCCTAACAGTCATTTACATTGATTCTTGATAATCTCCAAACTACTGAAAAGTGTAAAGAAGAAGATAAAAATTGTCTCCATTTCACCATCCCCCAAATGACCATTCTCTCCAGACTTTGCACTGATGGAGACAAGAGATGGTGGAGGCTGCCCTACGAGAGTGACAGTGGGGATGGAAAATTGACACGATGAGGTCATTACTGCATGGGGTTAAGAGGGAACCTGGTATCCAGGACATAGAACACAAAAGGCAGAGATGAGGACTGATTTGACCTTGAGTCCTTGATGGTGAGTTCAGATTTAGACATAGTGAATTTGAGTTGCCTGGAGCTATTCCAGTGGAAATGTCCAGGGGGCAGTTAGCTCACTAGTCTGGCTATAAAGCTGGGCCAGAGCCACAGACTTGAGATTGCCTCCACCCACACGGTGATTGCAGCCACAGAAATAGGTGAGAGTTCCCAGGAGAGCTGGAGGTTGAGAAAAGAAGAACAACAAGAATGAAACAAGGTCGTCCCTGTGGCCCAGGAGTGAGTCCAGGAAGCCAGTGTTCTGGTTTACCCGGGACTCAGGATGTTCGCAGGATGTGAGACTTTCTGTGCTAAACTGGGAGAGCCTGGGGCAAACCAGAGACCCCCTGGGGAAGTGGTAATGAGAAGGCCCACAAAGGAGCTGGAGAAGAAGTGGTCAGAGAGGGGGTAGGAAAACCAGGAGAAACTAGTATGGTAGAACCTGTCAAGTGCCAAGTGGGCATGGAGTTTGGCTGTTGAACTTAGCAGCAAAGAGTCGATTGTGACTGTGCTGAGAGTTTGCAGAGGAGGCTGAGGTCTGAGGAAGTGGAGACTCAGTGTAGACAAGAAACAAGAGGGGAGATCAGTGCTGGCAGGCCGAAAGTTTGTTAGCTCTCACATCTCTTTAGAATTCAGGACTGTGGTGATGTTTTCAGTCTTGAATATTTGTGAAAGGGCTTTGCACTTACATGTTCTACTCACTTAGGTCTCATAGGAGGGAACGGGTAGTAGACACAGTGACCACCCATGAGGGCCCCTTCCCACCTGAGCTGGCTGGGAGTTCATCTCTTCAATGTTTACATTGATTTGGGAGCAGTAAGGAGAATGACAGGTCCTCACCACCAGGCCAGTGGACAGTATCATGAAACATGGAGAAAGGATTGAGGTTGTCAACAGTTGTAGCTTGCTTGGGACCACAGTGCACACTCTTGGCAACAGTAGTCAGGAAATCAAAAGATAAATTGCACTGGGAAAAGCTGCTGTCAGGGACCTCTCCAGAGCTCTAAAGAACAATGATTTCAGTCTCGAGACTAAGGTGTGCCTGTTCCAGGCCATGGTTTTGCAATTATTGGTTACACACCAGAGAGCTGGACAGTGACTAAAGGCAACAGAAGAAAAATCAGTATCTTTGAGTGGTGGTATTGGAGAAGTGTATTAAACATGGCTGCTAAGAGAACAACAGGCCTGTCCTGGGGAGGATGAAACCAGGTTGTTCCTTGGAGGCAAGGATTTTGAAGCTCCATCTCACATACTTGGGGCGTGTGGACAGAAGGGACTGGTTCTTGGAGAAGCACATCATGCTGAGAAGGGTGAAGGGACAGCACAGGAGAGGGAGACCCTGGATGAGGTGGATTGATATAGTAACTGGGGTAATGGGAATAGGTGTGTCAGAGGCAGTGAGACTGGCTCAGGATAGGGCAGGCTTCAGAGCTTTTGGGCATAGGGTCACTATAAGTCACAGATGATGGCACATAAGAACAACAAGAAGGATGAGCTGGTGGTGATCCAGGCAGATGAACAGCAAACATGATACCAGGGTAGCACCAGTAGTAAGAACCTTCTCCCATGTATGGCTCCTTGCATTTAATTAAAAATACTCCTGTTCAGGGATTTGGCCTCAGAACTGCTTCCCAGGGACCCATTCAGCCAAGCCTTAACGCCCTTGTGGGAGATGTCCATAAAGTTCAGAG